ATCATTTACAGATTAAGAGAGTTGGAAGGGGGGAGGCCCTACACCATTTCTGACAGATGGTAGTCCAATCTCTCCTTGAAAGTCTCAAGTGATGGCGTTCCCACAACTTCCGAGGGCAACTTCTGTTCCATTGGTTGATTGTTCTCACTGTCAGAAAGTTTCTCCTTATTTCCAGGTTAAATCTCTCCCTGTTCAGTTTCCACCCATTACTTCTTGTCTGGCCTTCGGGTGCTTTAGAAAATAGTTTGACCCCTTCCTCTCTGAGGCAGCCCCTCAAATATTGGAAGACTGTTATCATATCTCCCCTGGACCTTCTCTTCCCTAGACTAGCCATGCCTAGTTCCTGTAACCCTTCTTCATATGTTTTAGTCTCCAATCCCCTAATCATCTTGGTTGCTCTTCTCTGTACTTTTTCTAGAGCCTCAACATCTTTTTTATAATATGGTGAAAAAAACTGGATGCAGTACTCTAGGTGTGGTCTTACTAAGGCTTTATAGAGTGGTATTAGTACTTCCCTTGATCTCGACTGTATCCCTCTGTTAATGCAACTTAGGATTGCATTAGCTTTTTTGGCTGCTGCTGCACACTGCTGGCTCCTATTTAGCTGGTTGTCCACTAAGACTCCAAGATCCCTGTCACAGTTACTGCTGTTAAGCCTGCTTTCACCCAGTCCACATGTGTCCTTTTGGTTTTTCTTGCCGAAGTGTAGGACTTTACTTTTCTCTACATTGAATTTCATTTTGTTAGATACGGCCCAGTGTTCGAGTCTGTCAAGGTCCATCTGGATCTTGAGCCTATCTTCTAATCAGAGGGTGGGCTTCACAACATTTTAGCAAAGGGTTCGGTGCCCAGTGGCTGGGCAGGAGTGGCTGTGGTGGGCATGGCCTAATCAGCCTCCTGCATCACAGTGGGGGCGGGGGCATATTTGTCCTTCCCTGGCTCTGGAGGCTTTTCTCGAGCCTCCGGGAGGGTGAAAACGGCCTCCCTGTGGCCCGCCGGAGGCTCTCTGGAAGCTGGAAACGGGCCCATTTCCGGCCTTCCCGAAGTTCTTCCCAAAGGAGGCCTTGTTTTCACCCTCCCAGAGCCTCCGCATGCGCCCTGTGCTTACCTGCATCCAAAACGGGCCACGTGGGGACTCCTGGGAGGGGGTGGGCAGGGCCAGCCAGGAGTGGGAGTCCGGGGTTCTCTGAAGTGCACCAAAATTTAGCTAAGGGCTCTCCCGAACTCCTGTGGGCCCCCAGCAGCCCATCCGCTCCCTGTAATTATTTTTAATCTGGGTTATTTGGTTGGGGCTTAGCATGGGATGCAAATCCAGCCGCTTTATTTTATTTTATTTTATTTTATTATTATTTTATTTTTTTTATTTTATTATTATTTTAATTTATTAGTTTATTTTATTTTATTTATTTTATTTTATTATTATTAATTTTATATTTTATTTATTTATTTATTTATTTTATTATTTTATTTTATTTTAATTTTATTTAATTTTATTATTTTATTTATTTTATTTATTAGTTTATTTTATTATTTTATTTTAATATTTATTTTATTAGTTTATTTTATATTTATTTTATTTTATTTATTTTATTATTTTACTTTATTTTATTTTTTGTCAATCACTTGCAAATTAATAGATATAAGCATAAACATGAGTAAGATTATAGGAAATAGGTATGAATAAATGGGGACAATAGGACAGGGACGGTAGGCACAACAGTACACTTATGCACACGCCCCTTACAGACCTCTTAGGAATGGGGTGAGGTCAATAGTGGATAGTTTGAGGTTAAAGGAGTCGGGGTTAGAGGATGTAACTACAGAGTCAGGTAATGCATTCCAGGCCTTGACCACTTGGTTGCTGAAGTCGTACTTTCTGCAGTTGAGTTTGGAGTAGTTTATATTGAGTTTGTATCTGTTGTGTGCTGTTGTATTGTTGCGGTTGAAGCTGAAGTAGTCATTGACTGTGGTAGGACATTGTAGCAGATAATTTTGTGCGCTATGCTTAAGTCCAACCGTAGGTGGAGTAGTTCAAGGTTGTCCAAGCCCAACATTTCAAGCCTGATGATGTAAAGCAGTGCCCCCCAACCATTTTTTGTACAACGGACCGGTACTGGCATCACAAAATGATCCACGGCCCGGTACTGGCATCAGCACGCATGACCAAGGCAAGGTGAGCCAAGCGACCGGCCAGCCAGCCATCCCCCATTTCTCCCTGCCACCTTCAACTCCTCCTTTGTACCTTCTTGCGGTCGATGGGCTTTTCGGGCTCTTTCTTAATCTCCTCCTGAGTAATGCGAGACTCCACCGCCATCGGGACGGCTCTTCGTTCAAAACCGCCCCCCCTCTTCGACAAAACTAAGGCGTGAGGATTCCTTCAGCACCCAAACGCCACTTTCCAACAACCGACAACCGACAAGCTCACCCGGAAGCACTTTCTCAAGCACCTTCGAAACAAGATGGCGGCACCCAAGCAAAGTAGGCGGCCCGGTACAAAATGATCCACAGACCAGTACCGGTCCAGGGCCCGGTGGTTGGGGACCACTGATGTAAACGACAAAGCCCAGAAAAAAAATTTTAGTATTTATTTTGATTTGTCAATCGCTTACAAGATACAGGTATAAGAATAAACATAGTTTTGAATACATGAGATAGATACTTATAAGAAAAATAAAAAGAAACAATAGGACAGGAACGGTAGGCACGATTGGTGCGCTTATGCACGCCCCCTATAAGCCTCTTAGGAAGGGGGTGAGGTCAATAGTAGTAACTCGACACCCAGGTTAGAAGCGTTGTGTGAATGACCCCTGAGAACAGAAGTGGGTATTCAGCAGGTTCTGACCAGTTCCAGAGAACCGGTAGCAGAAATGTTGAGTAGTTCGGAGAACCGGCAAATCCCACCTCTGACTGGTGATTTTACAGTATCCTTCCCCTGCCACGTCCACCAAGCCACGCCCACAGAACCGGCAGTAAAAAAAAAATTGAATCCCACCACTGCCTGAGAAACCCTTGATCAAATGTCCCAGAAATTGGAGTCGCAGCTTTCACACCAGTGACCGGCGAGGCCCAAGGTCTTCAAAGAAATCCACTTGGGAGCTGTCCTCCCAAACTGCAAACGGAGAGAGAGAAACTGAGGCACAACAGAGCATGCTCAGCCTTTTCTTTTCTCCCCACAGCCTGGAGACCGAGATGCCACCGCGAGTCCTGGCTGCAGCCACGCTGGTCAAAGGCCTCAGCTACAAGCACCCGGAGCTCTCGGCCCACCTGCTGGTGGCTGGATGGGACCCTCAGAATGGCGGGCAGGTATGTCCAGCAGGGGACTTGGGAGAAGAGGCTACTCGGTGAAGAAATATTGATCAATCAGAATAGAGCTGCAAGGGACCTTGGAGGTCTTCTAGTCCAACCCACTGCTCAAGCATGAGACTTTATACCCATGACAGCGAACTTATGGCACGCATGCCAGAAGTAGCACGCAGAGCCATGGCTCCAGGCACACCAGCCATTGCCTGTTGCTCTTCCGGGTGCCCATGCGCACTGGCCAGCTGGTCTTTGCACGCGCAGGAGCTCCAGAAACTGGAAGAGCACCTCCCAGTGCGTGCATGTGTGCCAGCTACCTGGTCTTCTGGTTTCTAATGCACATGCATGCACAAAGACCAGATGGCTGGCGCACGCATGCGCTTTAGAAGCTGAAAGACCAGGTGGCAGGAGTGGGATTCTACCATTTTGTACCTATTTGCTAGAACCGGTTGTTAATATTTTAAGCAGTTCAGAGAACAGGTTGTTAAAAGAAAATACTGGCCTAATCCTGTAAGGAAGGCAGGAAGGAAACATTCTGGTGTTGCTTACAGAAACTGCCTCTCAGTTAACCCTTATTACATTCTTGGCAGGACTAGACTTCCTGTCTCTGGAACTTATCTGGAGTTTTTTTTTCCCTCTCTTTTGTTGGTACTTTGCTTGTGTGGAGTGACCATTCAAAGTGACAATGGCCCTGAAAAAAGTGACTTATGACCATTTTTCACACTTATGACTGTTGAAGCATCCCCACAGTCATGAGAGGCCAGGTGAGGAGATGCGTGCCTCGATGTGAGTGATATTGAGTTGGCCACACCCAACCAATAACATGACCACCAAGCCACGTCCACCCAGTCACATGACCACCAAGCCACGCCTACCAACTAAGCCACGCCCACAGAGCCGGTTGTTAAAAAATTTGAATCCCACCCCTCCCAGGTGGCCTTTGCACATGTGCGGGCCGGGAGCTGCTCTCCCGGATTTTGGCGCTTGCGCGTTTTGGCACTTGGTTCCTCTTCAGCGTGCACGCACTCCCATTTCAGCACTCGGTGCCATAAAGGTTAACCACCAACTGCCTTATACCGTTTCAGACAAGTGGCTGTCTGGTCTTTTCTTAAAAACCTCCAGTGATGGAGCACCTACAGCTTCTCAAGGCAAACTCTTCCTCGCGGTTAGGAAGTTTCTCTTAAGTTTCCCTCCATTGTTTCTTGTCCTGCCTTCTGGTGCTTTGGAAAATAAACTGACACACACACACACACACACCCCTTGTTTGTGGCAGCCCCTCAAATACTGGAATACGGCTAACATATCACCTGTAGCCCAATGAAAAATATTGGGGGCTTTCCCATCGTCTCATCGCTATGCCAGAAAGCTACACCTGTTGAATTTCTGCTCATTGTGCCATGTTCATATCTAAAAAAAACCCCAAAAAAACCAAGCAGCCTTAGGATACAAAATCCTAAATTGCATTAACAGAGGGAAGAAGAAAATAAGCCAATGGGCAGTGCAGCAAAGGCAAAGAGGTCTGTTGAAAGATAGGATCCCACTGTGAGCAGGATCCCAGGCTCAGTAGCAGTAACTGTGAGAGGGATTTTGGAGTCTTAGTGGACAACCAGCTAAATAAGAGCCAGCCATGTGCAGCAGCAGGCAAAAAAGCTAATGCAATCCTAAATTGTATTAACAGAGGGATACAGTCAAGATCAAGTGATGTACTAATGCCACTCTATAAAGCCTTAGTAAGACCACACCTAGAGTGGTCTTTTAAAGCTCTTTATTTAGTCTGAGATCGGCTTGGCTCTCCCTCGGATCGGTGGCGGCTTATATTGAACTTGCCTTGCCAGCCGCAGCCAATGACAGACTTTTACAGTTGTTTCAGTTTTAAATTTGGCACAGCAGTAGGCTAGCCCCAGGTTTAAAACTGAAACAACTGTAAAAGTCTGACTCCTAGAGGAACACAATACAGAAGCCTGATGATGGCAGATGAGATTCTGCCGAAACGTTGCTACAACTTTAAAAGAACAGCTACAATGACGTGGGAAAATACCCGAACAAAGCTGAATACCATATATATATAGTTCCTGTTGACCAGAAGTTTTATCCAGCTATGTAATAAGGAAAGTCCCGCTCTTTCCCTCAGGAGTAATCTATAAGCAGAATAATATGTAGGGTGAATGCTTTCTAACCACCACAACAGTTGAATTTGCTGACTTTGCAACACAAAAGCAGGATTCACCCTCTCCTTCAATTCTGACAGGTGTACGTTACAATGGGAGGAATGTTGAACCGGCAGCCCGTTTCCATTGGAGGGTCTGGAAGCACTTTCATTCATGGCTACGTGGATGCGGCCTACAAATCCGGGATGAATTCTGACGACTGTCGTGAATTCACCAAAAACGGTATCTGTGCGGTTGGGTCCATTCTGGGTCGGTGAGCATGAGTGGAAACTGCCAAAATCCCCTTTTTTTCAAAAACAGGAGAAACCGTCCTAAACTCACAAACTGCAGCGGGTATCACGGTTAAGGGAATAGCAAAACAAAATAACAGAGTCGGAAGGGACCCCGGAGATCTTCTAGTCCAGCCCGTGTCAACCGTGGACCTCACCCGATTCCTAAGAGGTCCTTAAAGGGGGCGTGCATAAATGCACCAGCGTGCCTACGGTTCCTTTGTTTACTTCCTTCATGTTTATGTTTATACTGAAACCTGTTGTCTTGTACATAGAATAAAATAAATAACCTTATAAATAGATCCTATGCTCTTTCGGATAGGTGGCTGTACAGTCTTTTCTTAAAAACTTCCAGTGATGAAGCTCCCACAACGTCTGAAGGCAAGTTCTTCCACTGATCGATCAATAGATTCCACTGTTATAGTCACTGCACTATAAAAAAAGAGGTTGAGACTCTAGAAAAAGTGCAGAGAAGAGCAACCAGGATGATTAGGGGACTGGAGACTAAAACATACGAAGAACGGTTATAGGAACTTGGCTTGGCTAATCTGGTGAAGAGAAGGACCAGGAGACAGGATAGCGATCTTCCAATATTTGAGGAGCTGCCCCAAAGAGGAAGGGGTTGAACTATTTTCTAAAACACCTGTAGGCCAGACAAAGAATAATGGATGGAAACTAAACAAGGAGAGAGATTCAACCTGGAAATAGGGAGAAATATTCTGATAGTGAGAACAATCAACCAATGGAACAGCTTTGCCTTTGGAAGTTGTGGGAGCTTCATCACTGGAGGCTTTCAAGAAG